ACATAATTGGGTAATTGTCTTAATTAAAAATAAATTATATCGATTGTTCAATACAATAAAATATTAAAAAATAATGACGCTTTCTTTCTTTAATAATTAAAGAAACAGACATAAATAGTAGACTGCCTCGTTGGCCGAGTGGTCGCTAGTGCGACTGCCGGGCAAGGGGTCTCGGGTTCGATTCCCGGGTCTGGCAAACTGGGTTTGTAAAAAAATCTCAGTACTAGCACGGAGTCTGGAATTGTGCCTGGTATATGGCAATAGGCTCACCCCCTATTACATGGGACTCGTAACATAAATAGTGAAAAGTGGGTGTTTCAACGTTGTACAACGGCATAATGTGCACCTCTACCTACCCCTTCAGGGATAAAAGGCGTGATGTTATGTTATGTTACGTAAATAGTAAAAATCTTTTTAGGTTCCCAATTAGTATAACTACCAATTACTCAAAGAGAAATAAAAAACTACAGAACAAAAAACTTTAACGTAATTATCAACGCATGCCTATTTCTATTTGGTTGACTGTACATAAGAGTACAATTGCGTAACATTTGGCTGAGAGCGACAGAAAATATGTACGTGACTCATTACAAAGAGTCAACTTTTAATTATTATACCAGCCGTAATTACATTTTCATAATTCTGAGTGTGAGCTGTGACGCCTATGAAACCCAGGAATATGGAGAATAATTATTTAAATTAATTTGTTTATGTATTCTTGTCTTCAATTTGATAGGGTAATTTGGACTTGGTAGATTGATTATTCTACGGACCCTAATAGGTGCGATTAGGATTGATGGACTGTAGACATCAAAGGTGAATGTTCCTTCACAATAGATACGACAGATATTGCTCCAGATTGCTCAGATAATTGCTTCTCTGTGTTCGTCGATTGTCGCCTAACGATTAATTGCTTACAAACCATCGTATTTAGATACTATTTGGGTCGAAACCAAAATCGTAGCTTAAGGTTTCATCGTGAATCTGAAATTGAAATAACGACGTACGTAGATTGATAAACTTTGAAGTTACGTCGCAGTGCTACGAAAATACTACGCTGCTACGCCGTAGTAACATTAGGATTGCTACGAAATATTTTTTTTATACAATATTTTAAGATCATACTAAAATGTTGTATAATTTCTATTACCAACATTACAAAATAATATTGAAATTTTACGCCGACGTTATGAAACTTGATATTATTTCAGTAATTGTCTGCGGATGGTCAAGACCGAGTGGGTGTGTAAGCAAGTATCGGTTTTCCAATTAATGGCACGTATAAACTGGAGTTAGAGGTCAGCTTGTACTAAAACGGTTCATTATCTGTGCAAGAGATCCTTTCCTGGGTCAGTATTTTAGGGATTTTCAATTTCAAAACTGTGACCACTGGTTTGGAGTTTGTATTGTAGTTAATTTTATGACAGTTTGGTAACTTCAAAATTATGTTGTATTCATAATTGGATTGTATAAATATGAATTAATCTGATTATATACTCCACTTTTTTGTAAAATGTATAACCTAGTCTATCTATACATAATTAATAAAATCATAGAAAAGTCAAAACTGTACATTGAATATTTTTTTAAAAGAAGACTTGGGGCGTTATCTACAGTCAATACTGAAGCCAAAAGTATGGTTTTAAATTTTTTGGTTTTACTTCAAATTTGTATGGTTATTACTAACGGGTCGGGTCAACAGGCTACATATTATCACGCTATCACCTACGGGGTATGCGCAGTAAATCACTATTCCACGCAAACGAAGTCGCAGGCACAGCTAGTTTATTATAAGTATGACAGAACTGAAATATAGTGTACTTTAAAATAGGGGAAGTTAATTTGGCTACTTTTACTAATTACTTAAATTGGATTGTACCTTGTGTATTTATTTCTCGATCCCAAATTCGAATTCTTTTAGACTCGTAATAATCTAATCCTAAATCAATGAGAAATTCTCGAATATAATAATATTGCTAAGTGTTAAATAAGTATACATACCTATACCATGCCTATATTTGACACGCGGTGTCTACGAAGTTTTGCCCTTACATACAGAAGTTCTAAGAAAACTTCTTCCTAATACCAATATAACTAGTTATTTTATTTCTAGATTATTGGTTTCTATATATCAAAACCTAGACAAACTTGTTTGTGATGGATTGGCCAATGTCCGCCATATGTCCAAACTTAAGGCATCGTTCACACCAAACGTATAGGCCGCTGACTGTGAGCGCGCGTTCCGTAATATACCGCTTTTTCATATTTGACATCTCGTTCACACCGAACCGACTATACGCAGTTAAGTATAGCGTTGTCAACAGTGAGCATATTCCCAGTCGGTGGCGGACAATACGTTGGTGTGAACGATGCCTAAGTATTTTTTCATTTAGCCCAACACTACCATGGAGCTCCCAAAGCGTATTAAAACTTTTTGCTTCCATCCTTTTCTTTTTGTGAAAAAGTTTTATTGATTTTTAACGCACGTTAATTCAAGTTGACAGGGTTTAGATTGTTTTGAAACCCGAAATCGTTTACATTTTTCTTTTGTGTTTTATTTTATTATTTCAGATGGCGTTCGTTCGTTCAGTTGAGGGTGACGTTTTAAATATAACACATGTAGACATGAACATGGGATTTTCAATGCATTTTCTTCACATAATTACAACATTTAGGGCCTGTTTTACAATATCTGGATAGCCGCTATCTACCGGGTAAATTTGAATTAAGAACGTAATTTGTATGAACTATCTGTCACATAAGTTTATCAGGTACTTATATAGAGGTGGTTAAAATATACTCTTAGTATGACATGGGATATAACCGAGACTTAGAATATAATAAATATAATAATAATAACAAGGCCATCGAAGTTAAACAGTTAAATGAATAATACTTAACTTGATCCGAAGCTACTTCAACATGTAATGTTCACAGTACACCTACCTACGTTATGCTGTGGCATAATGAAACAGCTACATATTTCCAGTTTATAACTTTAAAACAACGTAATTACTGGCTCACCGCCTGTTATTCGGTGCAATGGACCGACGAAATAAAACGATACGATTAAATTGAATTATGAAACCGATTATGCAATATTCTGTCGAATACTTTCAGTACTTATTTAAGTTTCGGTAATGGACGATATTGAAATTTTATTGAATGAGCGGCTTTATCGAATATTATTTTTCAACCATTCCGGTGGTTTTTCTGTGATAAAACCTTGTCCTGAAAATTATTAAATGAAAGAAAAATAAATTCTACAATTGTTTAAATGTCGACAAGAACATATATTTCGTTCTTCTTTTTCATGATTTTATATAAGACGATATCGAGGGGTAACGGGCTATTTGGTTTAAGCGACATTTTGGTCGATATTGAGTTATATTTATATATTCGGAATCAGCTAATTTTTCTCTGTCGAATATATTATAATAACTCAAATTCGCCCAAAATGTCGCTTAAACCAAATAGCCCGTTAACCCTCGATATTGTTATCACACCTTTTGCTGTCTGCTGTAGTCACTAGCATTTTCTCCTGTATCGTGGGTGCGTTTACAAACATACGATTTCGGATACACATGATAACCAGACCTAAAAATCTGTGGATTAGACAATCAACCGTGTAACTATGTATGTAGATTAGAATCAGCACTAATTCTTGTTTCGTAATAAAGGTAGAAATCTTAACTTCCGTACCTGTATGGAAAACATCCACGTACTAAATTTTCCTCCAACATATATTACAGTGAACGTTCACAAACATAAATCTCGCACACACAATGCGCCCAGACACGGAACAACTATTAGTTTCACGCGGAAATCGACACGTAGTACTGCAGCACTAAACCGCTGCTGTGCAATCAATACCTAATACGAAGAACGAGAAAAAGCAAAATATAGGTACTTACAAATACACTACAAAATCAAACGTTTTTAAATAGTAAGGTTACTTTTTTAAAGGGCGAAGGTACACTTATGGTTTTCAAACGCCTTATGTCAAATACCTGACATGTCAAATAAATCTGCAATCTGCAATTTTAAAGTGTGGGAGAGCCATGCTTCGGCATGTTTGGGCCGGCTCCACCGGAGTGATACCACGGCCTCACAGAAAACCGTCGTGAAACAACGCTTGCGTTGTGTTTCGTCGTGTGAGTGAGGTTACCGGAGGCCCAATTACCCCCCTCCCTAGTCTCCCGAATCCTCCACAATCCTCAAATTCCCAATTCCAAAAAGCCCGGTAACGCATTTGTAACGCCTTGGTGTTTCGGGTGTTCATAGGCGCATTACTTACCATCAGATGACCCGTCTGCACGTTTACCGGCTTATGCTATAAAAAATCTGTATTTTAAGAAATCCCAAATCTCGAAATCTCTTACTGTCGTTCGTGCCACTATAAATGACAATAATTAAGCTGTTTTTTATTTTAAAACCAATTATATTTCACAAGTCATAAAATAAGAAATCAAAATCCATTGATGTTGCTAGACATAACCAATGACAACTCGGTTCCCGTCTAACATTTAAAGGATCTCCAATTCTGAGCAATTGATGCGGGAACAGGGACCAACTAACGCGATGAGTGGCTTATAGATAATTAAAGATTAGGAGGGCCTGAGCTCAATGGATTGGGAGGTAAGATAATGTTCCGATAGCACTTTGAACGTGGATGATAGCCAATTAAGTAATAGATGGTAATGAGACGTGTTTGTAGGATAACCTGATATTGTTTTAGGGGTTGTTGTCAGCAATTTAAGGACAGGGTAAAGACTAATTTAATAAATGATAACTTAGTCTTTCATTGCTTTAAGGATACCCTGAGATACGCAATGAGATATTAAATGTTATCCTCATTTCGGATCCTGTTTAGTTCAGTACAATGCGTAGCTCAAATTCTTTCTAACAAAACGGGTAACGATTTTCTTCTGTGTCGGAGTTTGTGGTGCGTTTACAAACATACAAGTTCACATACACATGAAACTCAGACCCGGAACTACATTTTATGGATCACACAAAGAGTTGCTCCGTGCGGGAATCGCACCTGCAGATACTCGCAGTTATTTGCAGTTAAGAAACTCGGAAACCAAAAATAGGACCTATCAATTATTTGTATTATCCAGAAAACCAATTCACGAACCGCTATTATGTTTTCACTAAAAGGCAGGTCGACAAATGAGACCAACTACATGTATAGAGGTAATACATCCAAAATTAATACCATAAAGATTCATCGCCGTGTCTAACTCACCCTTGGAACCATGTGCCTCAGTCACACTCCCAAACGAGTGATACGAACAAAACAGCTTAAAGCCTAACAAAGGCCCTTTCCTCAATTCTAAAGCAAAACTTTGCACATAAATACTTAGTTTTAGTTCACTTCATTTCAATCTGAGCAAAGTTTGAAGCGCTTGGTCTAGCAATGTCAATGAATCCCGTTTGATCGTTGAATAAAGTTATTTGCGTCGGAATTAGCTTTGATAAACAATTGATTAGAGGTGACGCTTGACCTTAATCATTGTTTGATGGGCTGATGTTGGCTGTTCTATATTAATACAGTATATTAATACAGTATAGATTATGTAACCACATCGACTATTCTCGGGTTGGTGACCAGAAGATGTATAGGAAAATAATTTCGTTTCATGTTGTTTGTTGTCATGCTGTTGTTAATAATTTAGAAAACAAAAGCCTAACAGTTGTAGTACATTTAAAACCATAAAAGATGTGATTTAGTTTTATAAAAGACCTGAAAATCACTACATCACGATATATACAGATGTCATCAACAGCCTATAAATGCCCACTGCTGAGCAAAGCCTCTTCTTACACGGAGAAGGTTAGAGCATTAACCACCACGCTTGCTCAATGCGGGTTGACGATTTCAAACTTATAATTAGAAATTACATAAGCCCAAGTTTCCTCACGATGTTTTTCCTTCACCGTTTGTCAGTGGTGTCTAAATAATCTTAGAAAGTACATATAACTCGGAAAAAATCACATTGGTACTTGGCGTTGGTAGGTTTCGAACCCACACCCTCATGCATGAGAAGCAGGCGTCTTAAACCTCCGAGCCACCACGACATTGATATTTATATAGAGGTAGATGTATCTAGGCCAAAAAACACGTTAGCAGACCAACCCGTACATAAGTTTCTTTACCAAAATACTATCTCCTACAGCAAAAGCAGGTTTCTCTTGCCGAAACTGCAAACTCCTTTCAATAAGACTGTACTGAATACTATCGTGTAAAGACATGTTTACAAGACGCTCCGTATTATTACTTGAGAAACTTCGACTTGTATTAAGAAGCAACGAGTATTTTGTGATTACCTCGCAAACTTCCGATTTAAAATGGAGAACAAACTTTGCATGTACAGACGGCATATCAGAGTATCCTCAACATATCCTACCGCAAAGAAAAATCGACTTTATCATTTCGTAACAAAGTTAAAATTCTATTGTAACGCTTTGGGTATATAGATGAGCGGTGTTGGATGTATTAAACTCTGCGTGCCTAGTTTTAAACATGTAGTAATGTTACGAGTAGCGACTACATTGAATACACGTTAACAATTTTGAACAAGAACTGAATACTTTTTGTTTTGGCCTTGAACTCAATTAGCTTGTTTTTCTACTAAAGGTTAGGTAAGGATGAGTGTATCGTAGGTGTAGGTAATAACTTTCATCTGTTTTCTTTTATTATGTTAGTAGTTTGTAAAGTTTTGTTTAACGTAGGAACATAAAGTCCAGTTTGTGTCTAAAAAAAATGCCTAGATTGTTCAAATAAATTTGTAAATAGTTCGTTTATTAAATTTACTTAACTTGTTTAGTCTTTTTTTTGACAAGGAAGAAAATCATCCAATGCCTTCGCCTACCTGCTCGAGGCGGGAGGGAGTGAGACTCTTACTGACTAAAAACTACCCCGTTTCTACTCATGACTGCTTTGCAGAAGGAGGAGATGGCATTCCAGTCCCTCTCGCTTATCACCATGGCCTGAACCAGAGGCGGACGCGAGAGGTCGCCGTCGTCAACCAAACTTTGTTTATGCTAGGATCTTCATTTTGTAGCCTGAATATATTATATGTATTAAGCTTTGTGATTAAGCTTTAAGAAAACTTTGGTATACTAACTATAAACCATTGAAATAATATCTCAAGACACCAAAGAGTACCTTCAGCTTAGTGTTAAATCAACAGCAACTTAAACTAGTACTTACTTTATTTTTTCATTTTTATTATTTTGTCATTATTATTATTTTTTAAGGTGTAAATATTTTAGATTTAATTAACTATACTAATATTCCATTTTGCTGAACTAATAAGTACTTACAATTACAATTCAAGGTCACCGACAAGAAAATCGTTACCACGAGCAATCAATTTGTTCTAGACGCTACCGTTCCGTTCCGTAAATACAAGCGAGTCTCATTTAGTATTGAAAACAATTTATTCCATCGTTGATTCGACCTACATATTAAAGCTTTTAATTAAACCACGTCTGCCAATGAATATTTAAATTTTATTTCAATCACTATGTGTTTTCACAGGGGATTCCAACTTTTGGGTGTCATTTCGACCGGAGGCTTTATGGGTAGTTGGGCTTTATTTCCATTATATTGGACTGAGTTTGCTGGTAACTGGCTGATAGGAAGGGTGTCTTTGTTGTTTTTGTTTATTGGCAATTGTTTTATTAGTAAGGTTTTTTTTATGATATAAGCCGGTAAACGAGCAGACGGATCACCTGATAGTAAGCAATCGGCGTCGCCCATGGACACCTGGAACACTAGAGGCGTTACAAGTGCGTTACCGGCCTTTTGGGGATTAGGAGTTTGAGGAATTGGGGAGACTGGGGAAGGGGAGGGTAATTGGGCCTCCGGTAACCTCACTCACACGACGAAACACAACGCAAGCGTTGCTTCACGTCGGTTCTCTGTGAGGCCGTGGTATCACTCCGGTCGAGCCGGCCCATTCGTGCCGAAGCATGGGTCTTCCACACGATTTATGAGTAAGGTTGCAAGTGGACCGGTCAGCATTAATTTCGGGTTTGATCAAGGCATGGTGAAGATTGCAAACACACAAAACTATTGTTTCTTTTACAATAATAAGGAACTCGTCGGACTGGATATGAAAAAAGTAATACCGAATTATTTAACTATATAATTTTGTAGGGTTTGTTTGACTACCTCGTGGGCGAGTGGTCGCAAGTGCAAATGTCGGGCAAGAGGTCTCAGGTTTGATTCCCGAATAGGGCAAAGAATTACTGGGGTTTTTAAAAAAAATCTCGGTAGTAGCACAGAGCCTGGAATTGAGCCCGGTATATGACAATAGGCTCACCCTCTATTACATGGGGCTCATAACATAAATAGTGAAAAGTGGTTGTTACATTGCATAGTGGTATTAAGTGCTATAATGTGCACCTTTGCTTATCCCTTCGGGGATAAAATACGTGATGTGTTAATTACAATATACCTCATGAATAAAGTAACACCGATTTATTTAACTGAATAATTTTATAGGTAAGTATATTTTGAATGTAATTGTATGTAATTTATAATAAGCTGGTGACACCCCTAAAATTTGCAACGCCTGAAAAAGGCCGTTAAGCTGTGCCTGTTATTTCATAAGACCTGTATGTATTACCTTAACATGAAAATAAAGAGTTTGAGTTTTGAGTTTGAAACCATGTCACCATTCAAACGAAGCGATACTTTACAACTAGTACCAACATAGCAAACAGTAGGTGTTGTGTAGTCTGCAATGTTTAGTCACAGGCTAACTTCAAGTTAGCACGGAACTACTTGTGCTAAACTTGTTGCTATTTGAGCAACGCTATGTTATCTGACTGTTGATAACGTTGAATATGAAATAAACTCTTTTTATCATCATCAACAGCCTATAAATGCCCACTGTTGAGCAAACAGAGCCTCTTCTCACACGAAGAAGGTTTGAGCATTAATCACTACGCTTGCTCAATGCGGGTTGGCGATTTCAAACTTATAATTAGAAATTATAAACTCAGGTTTCCTCACGATATTTTACTTCATCGTTGGTCAGTGGTGTCTAGATAGTCTTAGAAAGTAAATAGAGTTAACTCGGAAAAAGTCACATTGGTAGGTTTCGAATCCGCACCCTCATGCATGAGAAGTGGGCGTCTTAAACCTCCAGGCCACCACGACATTTTTTACTTAAATGAAAAATAGTAAAATTATTTTACTTGCAGCAGCACATAATTCGATATAATTACTGTTTGGCCAATAATTTGATTACAAAAACAAATAAATATTGATTATCTTGGCCTGCGTTTTAATATAAAAATATGTGCATATGCATAACTGTTATCTAATTCAACAGATCTCGATATTATTATAATAATTTTACTATTTCTTCAGTAATTGCCTGTTCTGTATAATGTGTGTACACTAATACCATTGGACAGGCCTAAAATACCATTAATTCTGGTGTATGAGTCTGTTAACGACTTTTGTACAGCGTTTTATTGGCATTCGCCGTTCATACGTAGGTTTTGGATGAAATATGTGAAAACATTTGGCTCACAATGTTCGTGTCAAGTACCCAGTAATAGGTCTGTTGTCCTGTAAATTATTGTAGCTGAAATTTCTAGTGTAGTTGGTCTTTATCATACGTAAGTAGATAAAAGTATGTACAAATTCAATTGTTGACTAATTTTTAATAATTTATAGATTTACTGCCTCGTTGGTCGAGTAGTCTCAAAAGTGCGACTGCCGGGCAAGGTGGGTTCGATTCCGGGACGGGCAAAGAATTATTGGGTTTTTAAAAATCTGTCCTCAGGGCGGTCCTCGCAGTGATGACACCCGGGGGTTTCCTCCCGCCCCATCAGACACAGGTACCTCCCGAAGTTTCCATGTCCGGTGAGGACCTGCGTCAGGCGGTAGACGAGGACGCCGTAGTGTCTCTCAACCTACTCCTCAAATAGGGAACTTACCGCTGCAATGGCAGCGAGCCCAAAATTCAATTCCAGTGATTGCTATTCGGTTTGATTATTTATCAAC